CCCCCCCCCCCAACACTGAAAAGATTGCCCAGATGTACCAATCTATTCGTCCCTACGTTCCTGATGAATTCCGCGATGACGCGCTCTACGAGACGCCGAATGCCCGACAGGAAAACGCGAAGAAAACGAGGCGTACACAACGTGCTCCAATGGCTGAAGCAGCCAAAACAAAATCAAGATCAGCGCGGAAGAGAGGGCGCAGAAGACACTTCCGAGCCAATCTATGGTGACGCACCAGCGCCTGTGAAGTCAGAAGGCCCCGACGGCAAAAACACCACGTCCGCAGGCAAAGAAGCAAAAGACTGCAGATTGATTATGATGTAGCTCAAGTATGAGCAGACGGTTGGTCAATGTTTCTTATGTCCAAACAAAATCAAAATGTTACTTATGATCAGAAGTCTAAATTTCAAAAAAAAATCAAAATATTCCCCTTAGGATTTGAAGTCACTCTATTTAATTGCTCGTTTTACAACGTTAGACTCAAAAATAGATCGAATGAATGAAAACCTTTTTTTGGGTCAAATTTGGTGCAGGTCAAATCCTGCACAACTCGATTTTTGGATCACATTTGGATCAATTTGACCATCCGCTTCACCCAAGGAGCGATAAATTTGTTTTATAGTTATTATAAGCGATAAACCTCTTTTATATTATATTTACAAAATATCAACGAAACATTAAATTAGACAGTATTTTTTTTAATTAAATATGTATGTGATTTAGTTTTTGAATAACGCTGCCATACCTTAGTGATAAAGATCTCGCTTCATAACTGAGAGGTCGGTGGTTCGATTCCACCTGGCAGCAAAAGTCAACTCAGTACTAGAAGATTGACTTTCGGTCACGTTCACTAGGGGGTTTTCACAGAATTGCACAAATGCGACCGACGGGTGTCACCGCGTGAGCTTGATTGACCGCCAGTATGCTCAGTACATGAGTCGGGCTCCCCTTCTGATAAGGATTTGGAATAAGTGAATCTTGCTAAAATCTAAAATCACAGCGGACCCAGGCATACAGAGGGATATCGTATCACTGAATAGTAGGAAATACTTGAAAAGTACATTTTTGTCCGATGTCAAAGAAAATAGGTACCATCATGCAAAACCGTAGTTGAATGGGCATAATGTATTTGATTAGAATATGTAGAAATCAAATAGGAACCGTTTTGTGTGTAGATCAGTATTCAGGAGATCTTGAGGCCACGGGATCACCATCCGAGGCTTCAGAGCCTGGGTCACTGACATCTAAATCCGAGTCCGAGTCCACTTCGAAGTCCGAATCCGAGTCAAAAGCCGGAGCAGGCAGAGCTGGTGCATGGGCAGGAGCAGTGGTTCTGCGGTTGGATATATCGTTGGTGAGTCGAACATATTCCCTGCTTTGAGCTTCAAGCACGCTGATGAACTAGGTCACATCCGGATGCGCTACAGAAAAAGCGTCGTTGAGCGTCCTGTTGTAGCGTTCCAGAGGGTTGTTGGTTCGATTTACAATGTCTTCGCCCAAATCATTGGTGTTCCACCATGTCGGAACAATTTTGTTGATCCTTGAAGTACTTTAAGATTTTCGTCCAGTTATCCTTTGAGTACTAATTTCCTTGTATCCACAGCCACGCTTGATCATGCGTCGAACATCTGGAATTCCACGAAACACGATGTCGAGACGCCGGATCACAGTAAGTCGGTCAATACAACCGTCAATCATAGCCAGATTCACCTCGGCCTCGGTTATCTTCAACTTCAACATTTTCCGTCGCAGCGCTTGCTTGAAGTGAAACAAACAGCCCACAATTGTAAAATCAGGAAACTGGGTCTTGACGGCCTCGATGAGTGCGTACTCAAAATCACACACCTCGTGAGCTGGGTCTAACTTCTTTTTGAATGCGACGAAGATTGAGTGCAGCAAGTGCTCGTAAACTTGAGATGTCTTCCCCATAGTCAACACGTAC